CATCCCATCCCATCCCATCCCATCCCGTATCCCATCCCATCCATTATTCCATCCCATATCCCATTCCATTATCTCATCCCATTATCCCATCCCATCCAATCCCTTATCTTATCCCATTATCCCATCCCATTACTATCCCATCCCCTTCTTATCCCATCCCATCCCATCCCATCCCATCCCATCCCATCCCATCCCATCCCATCCCATCCCATTATTATCCCATCCCATCCCATCCCATCCCATCCCATCCCATCCCATCCCATCCCATCCCATTATCCCATTATCCCATCCCACTATTCCATCCTATCATCCCGTTATCCCATCCCATATCCCATCCCATCCCATGATCCCATCCCATTATCCCATTATCCCATCCCACTATTCCATCCCATTATCCCATATCCCATCCCCACCTAACTCCAGCCCACCTCATCCCATATACAGTATCCCATATCCCGTATTCCACATCCCACATCCCACACCCCACATCCCATATCCCAGTTCCCAAATCCCAGATCCCATATCCTGTATCCTATATCCCATATCCTGAATCCCGAATCCCATATCCCGTATCCCATATCTCATTTCCCATATTCCATATCCTGCATCCCCTAACCCGTATTCCACGTCCAATATTTCATATCCCATATCCCACATCCCATATCCCGTATCCCGTATCCCATATCCCAAATCCCCACATCCCATCTTCCATATCCCATATCCCATATCCCACATCCCACATCCCACATCCTATATTCCATATCCCATATCCCCAATCTCATATCCCATATCCCATATCCCCTATCCCATATCCCATATTCCATATCCCATATCCCATATCCCACATCCCATATCCCACATCCCATATCCCATATCCCATATCCAATATCCTGTATCCCGTATCTCATGTCCCATATTCCATATCCCATATCCCATATCCCCTATCCCATATCCCATATCCCATATCCCATATCCCCTATCCCCTATTCCATATCCCATATCCCCTATCCCATATCCCATATCCAATATCCCATATCCCCTATCCCATATCCCATATCCCATATCCCGTATACTGTATCCTGTATCCCGTATCCCATGTCCCATGTCCCATGTCCCATGTCCCATATGCCATATCCCATATCCCATATCCCACATCCCATGTCCTATATTCCTTATCCCATATCCCCAATCTCATATTCCATATCCCACATCCCATACCCCATACCCCATATCCCATATCCCATATCCCACATCCCACATCCCATATCCCATACCCCATATCCCATATCCCACATCCCATATCCCATACCCCATATCCCATATCCCACATCCCATGTCCCATACCCCATATCCCATATCCCACATCCCATATCCCCTATCCCATATCCCATATCCCATATCCCACATCCCATATCCCATATCCCACATCCCATATCCCACATCCCATATCCCATATCCCATATCCCACATCCCATATCCCATATCCCATATCCCATATCCCATATCCCATATCCCACATCCCATATCCCGTATCCCATATCCCCTATCCCACATCCTATATCCCATACCCCATATCCCATATCCCATATCCCATATCCCATATCCCATATTCCCTATCCCATATCCCATAT